GGATGCATGTGTCCAAAGACACACTAGTCTTGACTTGGTTAAACCAAAGTTAAAAAAAACCCGTAGGCTTAGTATTCTGAATTCATAACTTTATTCATGTCAAAGGAGATGGTTGCGGTACTTGGGGAAAAAATCAGAAAATCAAGCAATACATGTTCATGGATCAGTTTAGGAATGTCAGTGATTCCTTTTCTGGAAACATCACTGAACAGTGTCTAATTTTAAGCATTTTTGTTAAAAAATACTCATTACACTTTCTATGTGCTTTCCTATTGAAAATAACCTAAGAAGTTCAAAAATAAAACACCAGTTTTGATACTAACAGCCTTTTAAAAAACATGTAGATGAGAAATGGTTAAGTGTTTACTGCTAGCCTTCAGTTTGGTGTAGTGGTTAAGTGCGTGGACTCTAATCCAGGAGAACCGGGTTTGATTCCCCACTCCTTCACGTGCAGCTGCTGGTGTGACCTTGGGTCAGTTACAAAATCTTTCAGAGCTGTTCTCTCACAAGCAGTTCTCAAAAGAGCTCTCTCAGCCCCACCTAACTCACAGGGTGTCTGTTGTGGGAGGGGAAGGGAAGGAGTTTGTAAGCTGCTCTGAGACTCTGATTGAAGGGCAGGGTATAAATCCAATCTCCTCCTCCTCCTCTTCCTCTTCTTCTCCTTGCAGCAAGTAAGTTTAGTGTCTCTTCTGTCCATTGAAATATTTTAAAAATATATGGTTTCTGTAGCTGTTAAGCAGTCCAAAGTAATCTGTTAATAGGTGGGAGACTGTCTTGTGGCTGCACGGCAGTGTTTTTTCTTTATACAGTGCCATTGGGTTACATGTAACTGAACTACATTGACTCCGTCTTGAGCAGGGAATGTTGCTGGGCTTTGTTAACGATACAGTATGTGATTTGAGGGCTTTCAGGAGGCCATCCAACAGACCCTAACACCCCCCATCCCTGATATGTCCGTAGTGCAAACTCAGTTTTTATCTCTATAAAAAAATCCAACTGGTCAATAATCGTTCTTTATTTTTTGCCTAGGGCTTGTTACCAGAATCCTGATGGCTCTTTTGAAAAAGTGTACAGGGTTGTTCCTAACCCAAATAAGCAGAGCAACCAATCAGCGGAATTTCAGGTATTTATTCCAGTGTGACTAATGGAATAGAAAAGCTGCCTTTACTCAGACAGTCTTTCTCTTTAATCGGAGAATCAGCCCAACTGAATTTATGTGTTTATTATTTAATTAATTTATACTTCGACCTTTAGGAACCCAAAGCAGCTTATATCGTTCTCCTCTCCTATGCAGCATTTCCCCTCCTTTTTTGGAGCAGCCATCATTACTAGATCATGTATTAATACTTTGGTTTTAGGACATTTTATGTCACCTCTCCAGATAAAGCTAAAAGTTTAAACATTAAAGAATACAAATTAAAACGTTGTGAAAATATTTCACTGAAATTAATTAGTCATGTACAAAGCTATATTTCATGAATATATAGTATTTGATAAGAATACTGGGTTTCTTCTGTTGACAAAGACAATTATTCCAAGGCAATATAAAAGTCCATTTAAATTGAAAACGTAATGCCGCCATCTGCTTACTCATTTGGCATTGGGTTTCCATGTTGCTCAGATCACGTCAAACACGACAGCATGTGTAGACTACTGTGCAAACATGTGCACAAGTTTAAAATGGCTGTAGCCCTTGTCAAACACCTCTGTACCACTTCTCCATAGAACCAGAAACAACTCTGCTGCACTATCTAAGCTGTGTCTCCTACTGTTGCACCCTGTGCAGACTGTGGTAGATCTTACCCCTGTTCTACCACTCCATTGATCAAAGTTTTTATTTATTTATATATTAAAATATTTATACACCACCTTCCCATTTGGCTCATGTTTGAAGCTTCCCTCCAGTCTAAGGAGCCTTCCTCCAACTTAAGTGGCTCTTCTGTTGGAAGAAGAGCCACTTAAGTTGGAGAAAGAGGATGGCTGGACTCACCCCATTTGCTCCAGCCTAAGCCTCTTTGAATCCAATGAGCTTTGACTGGAGTAACTCTAAATAGCACTGCTAGTCCTTCCAGGCCAAGAGAGGCAGTTGCCATAGAACCACACTGCTGTTCCTGGCCAAAGAAGGAACATTGCTGCAGCCCTATGAAACTGGGCGCTGCCTACCACTTGCTTACTGGAGCCAATGCTTAAAGCAAGCAAACAGGCCTGTGGCTAATTGCATTTCCCCCCCACTGCACTCCAACCAATGAGATTTATGATATTGGTTTCTGTGATATTTGTAAAAGTTTTTAGTTGCCCTGATTCTTAGAAAGCAGCTAGATATATAGAAATTTAGCAGGGGAAACTTTCCCTGACATGGAGATGAAATAATTGGGAGAGATTTGGCTACATCTCTTTACGCACAGGTTGCTGTTAAAGGTTTCTTTCTTCACATCTCCATCTTCTGCTCTTATTAAAATAGCTAGCTTGAGTACTTTGCATCTCTTTGTAAAAGTATCTTAGGTGTAGCAGTGCTGGGTAAGACTTCTTTCGAAGCCCCTGGAGAGCATCTGCTGCTCTGAATAAATTGTGCTAGGGTGCAAGGATCGGTGATCTCACTCAATATCAGATCATGTTACAATTACCCATTTTGTGGATCCTGTGTGTGTGTGTGTATGTACGGGGCATTTTGTGGCCAGTCCAGCTTTTCTTCAGTGGTTTCTGCCATCACCTGGAGATTTAACTGTTAATACACTGTTCTCCCAATAACTCTTTTGTCTCATGGAGTCTGTGTACATGTGTGAGATACAGGCAGAAGGATCACACCTCCCTCTTTTCTCCCGTAGTTAGCAGAGTGTGCTTTTTCACAAGGGAAAAAAATCCAAAGAGTTTTTCAGGATCAAAAAATGATTTTTTGAAAAAAAGGATTTTTTAAGTTCATGGGGCAATCTAAGAGTTGAAAAATACAGAAAGTAAAAAAAAAAGTGCAGTAGGACTTCAGATGTCTTCAGTAATGAATATGTTGCTGTCATATGTTCACAAAATGTTCTGTATAGAAGTTTAAATGAGGACAAATATGTGCCCTTTCTCCTTTGTCATGCAGCTCTTGATAAGAGTAATGCACAGAGTGTCAAATAACTTCACATTCAAGAGGGAACACAGACCCTTGACATTTGTGATTCCTCTGTAATAAATGCTTTGTAGAATGAGAGCGCTCCTGAGTGGGGAGAGCCCTCTCTGACTGTTCATCGTGCACTACTTGAATGGCCAGTGCAAACAAATGAAGAAGCTGCCTTTAAGCCCAGTCTGGCAACTGGAACCTCAGTATGTCAGGCAGGCAAGCTGCTTTTGCAGATTTTAGTTTGCATAGGTGTGGTATTCCCCCAGGTACATAGTAAGTGCTTTAAAAAGGATTAATACCTTGTATGTAATCTTACTTTTCACTAATAAGTAAAAATCAATCAGCAAAACACCTCTTAAACCTGCAGCTCTCCTTTGCATGGCTTAAAAATGTTTTGCTGCTTGTCTGGCTGCAGTATATTCAGGATTTTTTTTTGAAGAATCCATTATGTTAATATAGCTTTCATGTCTATATTTGGCTTTATCTAATGAAGCCAGAAGGGATAGCAGCAGAGGTAACTTCAGCCACCCTGAGACCACACTGGCTGCTCAAATTTGCTGCAATCCATTTGCTTTTTTTGCTGTCGAATCTGAGCTTTTGGGGTCCTTTGAGTGCTCATTCCTGTCTCGACTTGTAAGGTCAGGAATCAGAATGCTGACTCAATAAGTGTAAAGGATGATGTATCAATTCCTGGCCCACAAAAAGACATGATTGTTCAGTCTCGACTTGTAAGGGCCAGGAATCAGAATGCTGACCCAATAAGTGTAAAGGATGATGTATCGATTCCTGGCCCACAAAAAGACATGATTGTCTGGGAGTAGATTAGGAAGGAGTTCATTACCAGCATGCCACCAAGTGAAGCCCACTATATAGTGTGAGCTGCTGATCTGAAGAATCTTTGCAAGGAGTAATGTACAAATTTCATCTGCAGCAGATTAAAGCACAGAGGCTGTATCCTCTTCCCCTCATGACAGTTACAGTCATACTGCATTCTAGGGAATCCTGGGGCTCGAGGTTTCACTAATGGCAGAAAAGCTTCCCTGAAAGACTGGCTGCATTCCACTACAGAAGTTCTGTTTCAACACACCGCCTAAAGGGGTATGCTTGGGTGCACAATCAATCCATGCAGGGGTACAATTTTGCCCAATAGGTGTTATGCAAGGACAAAGTCTCTGTCTCCTGAGGACACTTTCCTAGAAGTAATCCCCAGTAAAAAGCTTCAGTAGGATTCTGAGTAGACTTGATCAGGACTGCTCTCTTGGAGTGCTCTGAAGAATTGTCGTTGAAGCCCACAAAGATAGAAAATCATTTTTTCCAACAGCAGTGCACGAAGTGGTCGTCAGAGGAACAGCTTCAGAAGTCAAATATTTGGAGTCAGACATGTTTGTAAAAATATAGTATTCCGTATATGATTCTTGTTATGGTTCCCTGCATAGACTTCCACTATCAAAATGTGTATTGAAATGTATCAGTACATGAATCTATCATTTGTGTAAAATTTGCTAGACTGCTGCTGACAAAATATTCTAAAAGTAATGAAACAGTAATCTGTGAAACTACTTATCAATTTACAGATGCAATATAATGCAATATAACCTTGCATTAATCATAAAGTCTTGGAAATCCGGTTCTTGAAAGCAAATATAACACCCATTTTAGAACAAAGGGGTTACAAATGAAGTGTTTCTAAGAGACAAAACAATGAATGGATACATTAAAGGTACACTAAATACATTAACTTATGATATTTAATGCCAATTATGGCTCTCTTTGAATATCTGCTCACATATTTAATAGGTTATATGCTGTTTTTTCTGAATTTTAGGGCATTTTATTTGTTATAGTTCTGGGTTGTAAACTTCCTTGAAAACAATTTTGTAATGAGGGCAGAATTTGGACACAATGTAATTTTAACATTTTTCACCATCAGTAAGTACTGTTGTTTCTGTTCCTTTGCCTTGCAGTCTCATTAAAAAAATTTTTTTTTACTACGTTAAATGTATCTTGTAGTAAGGGGGGGAAGAGCAGTGCAAGGTACTTGCTGACAGCTCAAGTCACTCACTGGCTGCAGTCCCAAGGCACTTTCTTGGGAATAAGCCCGATTGAATACCATCAGACATACTTCAAAGCAGATATCCTTAGGATTGCTCCCCTTGTGTCTTACTTGCAAGATTCCCTCTATATAACCCTATTGTCCTTTGTGGGTAAGAGACCCCCCCCACCATAAAAACATACCTCATCCTACTAGTATCTAATCAAAAGCAGCCTCCTGTTTGAATGTCAATATGGTAAAGAAGCCAGTCCTCCTTATTAGAGATGCAGTCTTAAGCAGAATCGCACCCTTCTAAGCCTTAGAAGAGTACAATTCTGCTTAGGATTGCACTGAAAGTCTACCAGGTACCAGAAACTGTATCCATGTTGCTTCTCTTCTCAATTATGTCCTGTTGTTTTAAAGAAACTATGAATGTGAGAGGTTTGCATATTGCCACATTTGTCTATCTCACATTCTCACTTCTGTCTTTCACCAGCACCAGTGGCATGTGCAGTGCGATACAGAAGATGACCCGGGTACGAGTGGTTGATAACAGCACATTGGGAAACACACCGTATCACCGGCCACCAAAGTGCATTCATGTGTACAACAAAAATGGAGTGGGCAAAGTGGGAGATAAAATCCTTCTGGCTATCAAAGGGGAAAAGAAGAAGGCCTTAATTGTTGGTCACCGGATGCCTGGCCCTCGCATGACTCCCCGGTTTGATTCCAACAATGTGGTACTCATTGAAGATAACGGGAACCCAGTAGGGACAAGAATTAAAGTCCCAATACCCTCTTTGCTGAGGAAGCGTCAAGGAGAATTCTCCAAAGTATTGGCCATTGCCCATACATTTGTATGAAAAGTTCTTTGAACATCCTAGCACACAGTACTTCCTTTCCACTCCTAGATCTGAGGAAGAAGGATTAAAAATGAATGGTTGTCTTTCATTCTGCTTATGAAGTAAAACCCATTGCTTTTAAAAAAAAATGATATTCAAGTTGTCCTTTTTTCTGTCTATTCTGATATGGTATCATTAATGCTCAGAATGTTAATCTGCAATTTCGTTTTCTGCAGTTGATGCTGGGTGGGGGTGGGAAGAGCTTGGCAGAGAATAACTGCACCTCACTTCCCAGTGATCATTTTGAGTTCTTACTGTTTCAGTAATACACGTGTAGGGCTATGTGCGTACCACGCATAAGATCATGGTAGAAATACTGAATCTGATAACCTAGTAGATACTGTGGCATTTTTATGGTTTCTAGTCCACATGAATTTTGAAAATCGCTCAAGTAGAGCAGATGAAGGCAGCATTAGTCTTGGCTGTTATCTTCTACTCCCACTCCCCCCCCCATCCTCAGTCCTTGCCACAGCATTCCAAAGTCTATGAAATACTGCCACTCGTGTGAATTAGTAACAATAGCGACATGCTGATTTGTGTATTAGTAAGCATTGGGCCCTGACCTGGATAACCAGGCTAGCCTGATCTCATCAGATCTCTGTGGGGTCACCATAAGTCCATCTGTGAGTTGACAGCAAACCCCCCCCCCCCAAAGCATTGGGATTCCTGGGCAAGACACAGTTATGTAAAGCCTTTTGCTGTCATCGGATGGCATTCCTTTCCCATTTAATTCAATGGGAGTATAGCCCAGAGGAAATTAAGCACGAGTCCCAGTGATTTAATGGGCATGAAATTATGCTGTTTGGGAGCTCTATGGCCAGTGACAGTAGCTGGTGTTTTTAAAGCACCCAGTTTGGAGTTGATAATGTTTTAAATCTGAATATTTCATTATGCAGCACTTGTGTTCCACACAGTGTCACAGTATCTTTTGCAAATGTGAGAATCAAAATCTGTTTTCTTCTTACCAAAATTCTAATAAGACAGTCCAAATGGAATGATGTGTGAAAACCCAGGATGAACAATCCACATTTCAGGTGTTTTATGCTACAAATAGAGGATTTTCTCCCTCATTGTGCCATCTAGTGGTGGCCTATAAGTGCCTGTGTTGCTTTGTTTCTTTGCTACCTGTGTAATGTCATAGTAAGCTTTGTGACTGTCAGCAATGAAACCTCTGTATTATATATGAGAAATGTTTTTGACTTGCCTCCTCAGACATTTCCCTCTTGTGCAAAAAATGGCATCATATGTTATTCAAAGGTACTTTGCCTGTTCCTTTGACTAATATTAACTTCCCCATTCCAGGCTAGTTGCAAGGGCTGGCACAGGTCTCAGGAATTAAAGGAGTATGCTAAGCCATTTTTTCAGTAGTAAATGTCGGGGACTGTGAATAAGGCTGGGTGAAATCGGACATCTTTTAAACTTTCTTATAAGAGTAGATACCATACACTTTACGACAAAGTCTGTGTTCCTTTTTTTTTTTAAATAGTGTTGGTCTCTGTGTTTGAAGCTTGGTTTACTCTAATTGTGAAATGTAAGCATGGAAGTTTGGGAGCAGACCAGTGGTTCATCTGCTGAAGGATCCCACATTTCATTCTCATAGGTAATTTCTTTTAGAGGAGAAACATGACTGTCCAGCTCTGGATGCTGGCTTACCTGGCAGTAAGCCTTGCTAAAAACAGTAAGGATTACCTCTGCATAAATATGCATAGGATTATGCTTGTTAGTATTTTGTGTTTGAGGCTCAGTATCCAGACTGCTCCTTGACCGTTTGTATTGTTGCTAAGCACTTTCCTTGCATTGTATATCTAATTCTGAACCAAGCCTTAGCGTGTGGATCAATAGATCTGCAAAGTGGAGCTAGGGACAAATAGGCAGGATTTCTTTAAAAATCTGAAGTCTCAGGCTTGCAGAAAAATCTGAAACCTTAAAAAAAATATATACGTTGGGGGATTAAACCTTCCCAGAATAAAAGAAACAACACTTGCAGTTTTAAGAAAAGCACGCCCACCGGAACCCAGAATATATCATCATTGTTGGATAGAATGTCCTAAACTTCAGGGATTCTGGAATGAGATACTAGATCCAATAAAACATAACTGGATTTAATATCCTTCTCAATCCTGAACACATATTTTTAAATGGATGGAAAACAAAAGCTTGTTCTTTCCTAAATTTAGAGGTAATAGCTATCCTTTTATTTGTAGCCAAAAATGTTATAGCGTTGCAATGGAAAAGCAAATTAAGCCCAAACATACAACACTGGCATAAGAAATTGTGGAACTTCTATATTATTTATTATTATTATTTATTTATTACATTCGGTTTATATACCGCTCTAACCCGAAGGTCTCAGAGCGGTTTACAGGCAGGTTGCAAGTGCAATTTAATTCCCTTACCTAAGGCCACATAGTACGGGGGTGGGGCTGCCTATCGGCACCCAGGTAGCGGGTTAGCTATTCTTCGGCTCCGGCTCCTCCCTCCAGGCGGTCCATTGGGGTCGGCATCCATTCTTGATGTCCAGGGCAGGTCTTCTTAGCTCGGCGGTCTCCTGGCACACGGCCCGTATCAGTCCCGGCTCGGCTATGTCCATATCCGGCTCCGCCACGCCTGCGCCTCCGCGACTCTACTTCCGCCTCCACTGTCGTCGGGTCTCGCCACACACTGTTGCTTTTCTGGCCACCAGGGATCACCGCGCCGTTGTTCCGCTGCTACTGCCGCCGCCGCTGATGTTCCCACCACATCCTCGCACGGAGGAGGGTGCCCCCTACTCTCTAAGGGCAGGTACCCATTTATCTACTTGCTCTATTTACTTGCTTTCGAACCGCTGGGTGGGTGGAGATTATGGCAAAGATTACATCAAATCTTTCTGATGTAGATGCACAGGTCTCTATATGTAATTTTATCCTGATTTGGTTTTCCATAATGGAATATTTAGCAAATCGAGAAGAAATACCTAAATGTGATAGAAGAACTCTGTCTATGGTAAAATAGGTTGAATAAATATAATGGTTTATACTTATTGTTTAAATGACATTATAAATGTATATACTTTGTTAAATCTTAAAAGTATTTGGTGTTTTCTCTTACATTTAATATGTAGAACTTTGACTTGCTGTGTAATGTTTAACTTGGCAATAAAACTTTATTTAAAGGAAAAGAATGCCCCCTGAGGGCAGTGGAGACATGGGCATGCCTTCTGAGAAGACGGGTGGTTCTACTCTTGTTCAAGCATTCTAATTGTTCTCCTGCCTCCTTCATCCAAGATAGTGTGTATTTGAGAGATGCTGGAGGCTAAAACCTGGGAATTCATAGTTTCTGTCTTGAGAGACCTTTATTTTTAAAATGGCTGCTCATTCTAATTGGTCACTGGTGATAACAAAAGCCCTGGCCTGTATCCTACCACTCCACCAAACAAAGGTTGAAGCCCTCCTACAGCTGAAGAGTCACAAGTTGGAGGATAGCTCCTTAGGCAGGAGGAAGTTCCTCCTGCCAAAGGTAGGATACTGCTAGGTATGCATGTGCCACTGCCTTTACAGCTTCTGCTATGTATCTTCCTGAGCTAAGAGCTACTGTACAAGAGGTTCTGGAATTATGTCCAGGAAAGCTGAAACTGATTGAGTCCTGTTTC